TGGGGCCACAATGGCGTTATGCTATTCCACTTTTTAAAGGGTGCAATTTGACGTAGCTTGCTTGTTGGTGGCGCCCAATCTGGGGCAAGATTATCTGAAGGCGAAATCATAATTTTAGCAGTATAGCTAGCTTAGCTTTTTTAAGGAATGGCGCCCAACCTGGTACATTTTCCAATTGTTTTAAAATGCTCATAAAAAACATCAGATTCATATTTAACAAGAATATATACCCTCAGTTATATGGCTAGAGAGGGTATATATCATTGGTTCGGCCAAAAACGTGGCTAATCGAAATAACGGTTTTAGACCCTAGGTCTCTTTGGACCAAATGCGTTTCAGGACATTAGGATGGATGTAGCGATGTTCGTCCGTCTGTCTAGATGGAGTGTCCGATTCGGGCCAAACTTTGTACATCGTAGTATTACTGTCAAACTTAGATCGAGTTCGGAGATGGGCAATACCGGCCCACTCCTTCTTGCAACTCACTGCCCCACAAAAGGTCGAAATTTTCAAATAAAATATTTTACTGTCCAGAAGGATAAAGGATTATAAAATTTGCATTAGTTCTAAGTCAGGTGGAAAAACTTATAATATCGATCCACTCCATCAAGTACATCCTCCAAGGGAGATAAAAATTTTGAATAATTACAACACTTATAAAATGTGATGTAAGTGTTCAATTGTCTTCAAATTACGCACATCCTAATATTTTTATAGACCCAAGATCTGGTGCTAAGATGGAATATATCGGTCCACTCCTTCTGGTACCTACCCCACAAAAGTTCGACGGTTTGAAAATCCATGAAGCTCATACAACACGAAATTAACATCCAATTTCATTCGAACTTGGCACATATCAATATTTCTATTAACACAAGATATATTGTAAAGATGGTCGAGATCGCAAAATTCCTTCTGGTACCTCCCCCACCAAGGATCAAAATTTAGAATATCAATAAATATCAATTCGCATAAAATTGAATATAAATATTTGATTTTCTTGTAATTTGGCCCATGCCAATATTTTTGTCTGTATCAGATGAAGTATGAAAATGGAATAGTTCAAACACTTTTTTTTTCGTTAAAAATTTGATTGTTTTATTTTTGTCGTTCATTTTCATATATCTGCGTCTAATAAATAGCTTAGATACCTCCCAACAGACTGCCAACACCACCGACGACACCCTCGGCCAATTTGGTAGTTCCATGGACAAGACCACCGGCGGTCTGCAAAGCACCACCGGCAAGACCGCCTGCAGCATTCAGAACACCACCAGCTACGCCATTGACAACATCTGCGGCCCCACCAACAAGACCACCGGCGGTCTGCAAAACACCACCGGTAAGACCAGCAGCAGTATTAAGGACACCACCAGCTACGCCATTGACGACATCTGCGGCACCACCAACAACACCACCAGCGGTCTGCAAAACACCACCGGCAAGGCCACCAGCAGCATTCAGAACACCACCAGCTACGCCATTGACAACATCTGCGGCACCACCAACAACACCACCAGCTGTCTGTAAAAGAGCCCCCGGAAGATTGCCCAAAAGACCAAAAGTTGGTCTCCTCTGTTCGTAAACCAGAACTTGGGGACCAGAAGCACCGCCATTAGCAGTCCATGTTACGGTAGCACCAGCATTTGGATGATAACTCCAGGTGGCAGCTTGACATTGGCCAAAGATGGCAATGACAATGGCCAAAGTTGTTCCCAAAATGAATTTCATTTTCAAAATTTTTTTAAGGTTGATTTACTTCTTGAACTGCTGAAGAAATAGTTGTCGATTGGACTATATTTTGAGTCGAATTTGGAAAACCTTTTATAGCACCGGGGTCTCTTGTTTTGGTTCATTGCGAAGCTTTAAAAGACAAGAAAATCCACTTCCGTTCCATTGTATTGCCTAGCCTGATTGTTAGTAAATATATCGGGATTTCCAACTTCATTTTCTATGACGCATGACAGATGTTTGATAAATGCACTGTGTCTATTGTTCGGATTGTTAAAAAAAATAATGGTTAGTATGATATTAAATAATAAATTATTTTTATTATTTATATTAGACATATGCTTTTGAAAGACTAAACAAATATTAAAAGACTAAAAAAATATAGCGCAGAAAAATATTAAAAAATCAATATTGTTTTCAAATTTGTTAGTAAATATTCAATTCACAATTTTGGCAAAATTTGTCAACGCCATCGAATGAAGTTTTGTTTGGATAATTGTCAAGATTCAACGAGGTAAATGTACCCTCAGCTTCATATACCCCTCTAACATTTGACATACATATCATGAGATTTTGCCCTCATGTTGGTGGGAACAAAAAATTTGTAAAAACAAGTAAAATAGTATCAGTCGGTTTTGCCGACAGATGTATACAGATATAGCGGACCGAAGTATTCCATTTTCATACTTCATCTAATACAGATAAAATATATTGTTATGTGCAAAATTTGATGAAAAATGAACATTCGTATCCAATTTTATGTGAAATCATCAATTCCGACAAATTACATATTCATATCAGAATAGACAATTATAAGTTGCCAGATCTTGTGTTGATGAAAATATTGAGAAGCTCCAAGCTCCATCTTAACACCAGACCTTGAGTTACATTATATATTGGGATGTGTGAAATTTGAAGACAATCGGACTCTTACATCAATTGTATGAGAGTTTTAATTATTGAAAATATTGACCCTTTGTGGGGGAGGTACCAGAAGGAGAGGACCGATCTTGTCCATTTTCACACTTCACCTAGTACTGACGCAAATATTAAGATTTGCAACGTTTGAGCAAAATCGGATTTTCGTTTCTCTTTCTGTGCAAAAAATATATTTTTTTTTTCAAATTTCGACCATTTGTGGAGGAGGTACCAAAAGGAATGGACCGATATATTCCATCTTAACATCAGACCTTGGGTTAACATAAATATTGACATGTGTGAAATTTGAAGACAATCGGACCCTTATATCACATTTTATAAGAGATGTAATTATTCAAAATTTTGACCATTTGTGGGGGAGTTACCAGAAGGAGTGGACCGATATTGCCCATCTCCGAACTCGATCTAAGTTTGACAAAAATATTACGATGTACCAAGTTTGGACCAAATCGGATACTCCCTTCGAGAGTTATCGTGCGCACCAGCCAGCCAGACAGACAGACAGACGGACGGACATCGCTAGATCGACTCCAAATGTTCTGATTTGGTCCAAAGAGACCTAGGGTCTAAAACCGTTATTTCGACTAGGCACCTTTTGACCGTATCAAATGATATATACCCTCTGTAGCCATATGGCTGAGAGTATAAAAATATATGCAGCCCAACTAGCAGGCAGAAAAGGTATGGACCTGTAAACACTACTTTCAGGAACATTATTTAAAAACTCAAAAGTACCTTTACGTATCTCCAACAAAAAAGTTGAAATTTTAAATTATCAACACAATCAGAATATTTACACCGAAATATCTTCAATATTTTTCTACTCTCTCCACAATATTCCAGAAAATGCTCAAAATTTTTAAAAATCTCAATTTTTAACCTCAGCTTCAGGCTTGCATCATTTGATGCGGCCAAAATGCGCCTCATCGAAATAAAAAAATTTTCTATCCCCTGCCCCAGGGTTTCTTATAGAAGACCAGAGGAACTTCTTATAGAAAACCAGAGGGTCTTCTTATAGAAGACCGGAGGGTCTTCTCATAGAGGAGCAAAAGGTCTTCTTATAGAAGACAAGAAGGTCTTCTCATAGGAGGTCTTCTTCTTATAAGAGACCAGAAGGTCTACGTATAGAAGACTAAAAGGTCTTCGTATAGAAGACCAGAAGGTCTTCTTATAGATGACCAGGTGATCTTCTCATAGATGACCAGGTGGTCTTCTTATAGAAGACCAGAAGGTCTTCTTTTAGGAGACCAGAAGGTCTTCTTATAGAAGACCAGAAGGTCTTCTTATAGAAGACCAGAAGGTCTTCTTATAGAAGACCAGAAGGTCTTCTTATAGAAGACCAGAAGGTCTTCTTATAGAAGACCAGAAGGTATGCTTATAGAAGACCAGAGGGTCTTCTTCTAGAAGACCAGAGGGTCTTCTTATACAAGAAGAAGGGTCTTCTTATAGAAGAGCAGAAGGTCTTCTTATAGAAGAGCAGAAGGTCTTCTTATAGAAGAGCAGGAGGTCTTCTTATAGAAGAGCAGGAGGTCTTCTTATAGAAGACCAGAAGGTCTTCTTATAGAAGAGCAGGAGGTCTTCTTATAGAAGACCAGAAGGTCTTCTTATAGAAGACCAGAAGGTCTTCTTATAGAAGACCAGAAGGTCTTCTTATAGAAGACCAGAAGGTCTTCTTATAGAAGACCAGAAGGTCTTCTTATTGAAGACCCGGTGGTCTTCTCATAGAAGACCCGGTGGTCTTCTCATAGAAGACCCGGTGGTCTTCTCATAGAAGACCCGGTGGTCTTCTATAAGAAGACTTTCTGGTCTTCTATAAGAAGACCTTCTGGTCTTCTCATAGAAGACCCGGTGGTCTTCTCATAGAAGACCCGGTGGTCTTCTCATAGAAGACCCGGTGGTCTTCTCATAGAAGACCCGGTGGTCTTCTCATAGAAGACCCGGTGGTCTTCTCATAGAAGACCCGGTGGTCTTCTCATAGAAGACCCGGTGGTCTTCTCATAGAAGACCCGGTGGTCTTCTCATAGAAGACCCGGTGGTCTTCTCATAGAAGACCCGGTGGTCTTCTCATAGAAGACCCGGTGGTCTTCTCATAGAAGACCCGGTGGTCTTCTCATAGAAGACCCGGTGGTCTTCTCATAGAAGACCCGGTGGTCTTCTCATAGAAGACCCGGTGGTCTTCTCATAGAAGACCTGGTGGTCTTCTCATGGAAGACCAGGTCTTCATATTTTCCACCTTGTCTTCATAATTTCCAATACTTTGAATTTAAAAACATTTGACTGAGTGACAACATTTTTGTTTCGAAAATTTGTAATTAAAAATTTTATTTTTTTTTAATGACCTTCACATTGCTAAAATTACTTATAAAAACATTTTTTAATAAGTATAATAGTGAGTATTATATCTGGCGTTGCCACCTCCAAGTAGACTACCAACACCACCTACGACACCCTTGGCCAATTTGGTAGTTCCATCGACAAGACCCCCGGCGGTCTGCAAAACACCACCGGCAAGACCACCAGCAGTATTTAGGACACCACCAGCTACGCCATTGACAACATTTGCGGCACCACCAACAACACCACCAGCGGTCTGCAAAACACCACCGGCAAGGCCACCAGCAGCATTCAGAACACCACCAGCTACGCCCTTGACAACATCTGCGGCACCACCAACAACACCACCAGCGGTCTGCACAACAGCGCGGGGAAGATTACCCAAAAGACTTCTTCTCTGCTCGTAAGTTACAACTCTGGGGGCAGAAGCGGCACCAGCATTGGCAGTCCATGTTACGGTAGCACCACCATTTGGAGTATAGTGCCAGTTGGCAGCAGCACCAGCTGAGGGGTTAATGGGAGAGGCTGAAGGGGATGGAGAAGAGGAAAAGTTTCGTTATTTAAAACCAGTAAAGAAAGTCTTAAAGTCGGGCGGGGCCGACTTTATGATACCCTACACCACTTTACTAATTTAGTAGAGCTCCGCATAACAATTAAAAGTTTTTTTTTTATGGGAGAATTCAATCATACACGCTATGATTATAATTATAGTTTAAAGTTCAAGGGTCTAAATATGCCGAAGCATTTGTATCTTTTAAATTCGGACTTGTATTGCCCATTTGGTTCAGAAATAATTTGAAATCGGATAAAGATATATATGGGAGCTATATCCAAATCGGAACCGATTTCAATAAAATTTGGCAAAGATATTTCTGAGCTGTATTTGATATACTTCCCTGAATATCGTTGTTACGAAGTGCATACTACGCCTGTGGGTAACAAATATAACAAATCGGATGAACAGTATATATGGGAGCTATAGCTATATCTGAACCGATCTTCACCAACTTTGACATACTAGCTTCTAGACTCAATTCGGTCGTAAGTGCCAAATTCCATCTCATTTGGACATATATTAGACGTTTGGTGCACAATAAAACGTAAATCGGACGAAGTTGTATATGGGAGCTATATGCAAATCTGAACCGATCTCGATAAAATTTAGCAAAAGTATTTCTGAGCTGTATTTGATATATTTCCCCAAATATTGTTATTACAGAGTGCATATTTCGGCTGTGGAGGATAAAAATAACAAATCAGAAGAACAATATATATGGGAGATATAGCTGAACCGATTTCGATCAAATTTGACATACTTATTTTCAAGCCTAATTTGGTTGTATGTGCAAAATTCTATACTATTCGGGCTGAGATTACACATTTGGTGCACAATAAAAGGCAAATCGGACGAAGATATATATGAGAGCTATATGTAAATTTTGACCGATTATCTCCAATTTCAATAGGGTTCGTCCTTGATTTGTGCAAAATTTCATCTGGATAGGGCAATAAATGCCTACTCTACTTTGTTTACAAAAATACATGGACAGACGGACGGACGAACAGACAGACGGACGGACGGTCAGACATGCATAAATCGTCTCAGAATGAGATTCTATGCAGATCTTCAAAAGGAACTATGGGTCTATCTCGTTTCCTATTGGCTGTTACAAATAAATGCACAAAGACATAGTACCCTGATCACCTTGTGGTGTAGGGTATAATTAGTGATAAAAAAACGGTTTAATTCTTGGGCAATTTTCTGGTGTTATTTTGTCAACTGTGAAACTACCTAAAATTCCAGGTGGCTATATTCAATAATGGGGTCACGTAAGAAAATTTCTGTACCAATATTTAGTGTCCCGCACAAAGTGCATCAATAGCTTACGTTAGTTTTAACTTTGAACAGAAATTTAGAAAAAAATTTGTTTTGATATTTTTTTTTAGAATTATTTAAAACCTTTAACCTTGAGACCGTCAATTTTTTTATCTTGAGGATCTACAATTCCCTGAAAATTTCTGATTTAAAAAATTTTTTACTCACAATTTACAACAGCATAGGCCTGACTTTGTCCGAAAAGGGCCAAGACAATGGCAAAAGTTGTTCCCAAAGCGAATTTCATTTTTTCCTTTTTTGGCGCTGAATAACTTCTTGAGCTACTGGAGTAATAGTTGTAGATTGAACTATATCTTCTGACTAATTTCGACAACCTTATATACCCCTTTTATGACCCATATTCCTTTTCCGCGAATTTCAAAACCGTAAACGAAAACTAACATTCAATTAAGTTATTTGCCTCTATTTTATTTTCTAGTTTGTTTATCTTTGGCATTCCATTAAACATCTGTTTCCGGAGATGCATTGTTCGATTGTTTCATTAGTTATTTCTATTATAAAAAATAAATAAATAAATAAACTTTTTAAGATAATACACCTGTTTATTATAAACTGCAATTTCTATTCAATTTTATTGAATTTCGACTTCAAATAGTCTATGTAAATTTTCAAAAAATAAATAAATAAAAAATAAATAAAATAAAAAATAAATAAAAATAAAATAATAAAATAAATAAATACATAAATAAATAAAAATTTTGCAACGTAGACTAAAGATCTGTTTTTATAGAATTTTCAATATTTGCAAAACTATTCACAGAAATTATTAGTTTTCAAATATTCAGACACCAGTTATATTAATTTCTAATCTCCGCAAATGTCCCCAAATATTCCCAAATATGGAGATCATGACTATGTTTTTGTATAGGAATTCCAGGCTCAATTTTGTATTTTGATTATTTTAGCGACATTATTCATCCGAATTGTTTCAAATTTGGTACTTAAAGTTCGTAGAAGGTACTACAGCCTAAAATAGAAAATTGTCTGTGCAGGATCACGTTTTCTTATAGGCCGATATAACGGCACCCCCCGATATTCTGTATTTTAATGATTTTAGCGACATTATTCACCGGAACTGTTTCAAATTTGTTATTTGAAATTCGTAATGGATACAACAGCCTATAGCCCCCATATAACGATACCTCCCGATATTCGGTATTTTGAGGATTTTAGCGACATTATTCACCAGAATTTGTTTCAAATTTGGTGTTTGAAGTTCGAAATGGATACTTCATCCAATGACAGAAAAGATTTTACTAGAATTTTTAACAGATTTTATTTTTTTGCCAAATTCGTTCCAAATGGTGTCTGTGCAGGCCCACGTCTTCGAATAGCCCCAATATAAAAGTTCCTCCCTATATTCGGTATTTTGATGATTTTAACTACATTGGTATTTGAAGTCATAATGGATACTACAGCCTATGACGAAAAATTGTCCGTGCAGGTCCACGTCTTCGTATAGCCCCAATTTAAATGTACCTCCCTATATTCGGTATTTTGATGAACTGAGTTGAGTTTCGTATTTGAATTTTCTAATGGCTTATGACATAAGTTACCTATGCGGGTCCACGTCGTCGTATAGACCCTAATATAACAGCTACATTTGGTATTTGTAAGATTTTAACAGAATTTTTAAACGGATTTTATTTTATTTATTTATTTTATTTTTTTTTTTTTTTTGAAAATTGCCAAATTCATTCCAATTGGTGGAGGGCATTCAAAGATCGGCCCGGCCGAACTTACAGCTTTTTTTATTTGTTAAATCCAAATATATGCATCAGTGCTAGGTTAGGTGTGAAAATGGACAATATCGATTAACTCCATCAAGTACCTCCCCCACAAAAGATCAAAATTTTGAATAATTATAACTTTTATAAAATGTGATGTAAGAGTCCGATTATCTTCAAATTACACACATCACAATATTTGTGTTAGCCCAAGGTCTGTTGTTAAGATGAGATATATCGATCCACTCTTTCTGGTACCTCCCCAAAAAATGGTCAACATTTTTGAATAACCATGAAGCTCATAAAACGCGAAATTAACATCCGATTCCACTCAGACTTGACACATCTCAATATTTCCATCAACACAAGATCTGTTGAAAATATGGTAGAGATCGGAACATTTCTTCTGGTAGCTTTCCCACATAGGGTCCAAGATTTTGAAAAACAAAACGCTCAAAGAAAACGAAATAAGCATCCAAATCTCTTTTCAAATTTCACACTTACAAACATTTTTGCTAACACAAGATCTCTTGTGAAGATGATATATATCTGCGAACCTCTTCTGGTACCTCACCCACAAAGGGGTCACAATTTTCAATACTATTATCTGTCATAACTTGTGAAACAAATTAGCGATTCTTTACAACGAAATATTTCTGAAACCTGAGATTTCGCATAAAATTGGATATAAGTGTTCGATTTTCTTTCCAATATTTTTTTCTTACAAATATCTGTACCCTACAACAATATTATAAGGTTGATTGGGCCAAAAATTAACACCTCGAAAAATTGGTCCGGCACATAGGAATGTATATATGGATCTTCCTATCTCACCGAACTGTGTCGATCTAGCTATGTGTATCCGTCCGTCTGTCCATGTTAATTTTTTATTACGCTACAGATCGCAATTATGGCCCGATACTCACGAAATTGAAAATAGAGATAGGGATAGAGTCAAAATAAAAGCCTATTGTTTATGGAGATGTTCGCAAAATATTTAGGGGTTAAAATGGACAAAAAAACAGAAGAATTTCTTGATTTTGCTTTGCTTTACAGATCGAAAAATGGCTCGTGAGCTGAAAATATCGCATTATTCCATTCGGCAAATATTGAAAAATGAGCTCGGCGTATAGCCATTGAAATTCCAAAAAGTACAAGAACTTACACCACAATAGAAAGAAAATAGACTCAAAAAAACTAAAGAGTTGCTTCGCTTGGCCGAAAGTGATTAAGTGGTGAACTGCCGAATTTGGTTTTCTCCGGTGAGAAAACATTCGTTGTCCAGCAGTTTGTAAACAAACAAAATGATCGTGTTTACTTGCCAAAAGCTGAAAATGTTCGCCTTCGGTTGGCCACCAGAACTCGAGCGCCAGCCATGGTGATGGTGTGGGCCATCATAACAGTCGATGGTCGCTCTCAGAATAAATGCCGAATATTATCTCGAAAATATTCTGGAGGGTGTATTAAAGCCTTGGAAGGCAGACCTTGGACATTCCAACAGGACTCAGCACCATCGCACTCAGCACGCGCCACCCTATAATAGTTACAAAAGGTAGTTCATCACCTCGTGTCGATCACCTCAAGCAAGCGCTTCGCCGGGAATGGGCTACCAAGAATGGTTACAAAATGAGGTTCCTCGCTTCATTTCCAGTGCACAATGGCCACCAAAATCTCCGGATACCAATCCGCTGGACTATTGTGTCTGCAGTATATTGGAAAGCATGGTTGCCACTAAAAAATATCAAAATGTTGTTTATAGCGTTTGACTTTATTGTAGTTTTTTTATCTCACCCTGTACAGTTTTGAATTTCACATTTTCTAATGTTTTTTTTTTTCAAAACTCCGCAACACTATGAGTTGAGAATATTTTATACTGGTCGCAATTGTCGTGCGATGGGGGGTTAAGGTTAGAGTCAGAATTAAAGCCTATTATTTTCATAGGTGTATATTTAAGTGTTCAAATGGACCAAGTATTTTTGCAGTAGCTCTACAGGTCATAATTTAAAACCAATAAACACGAAATTTTGTGGAGAAGAGAGTTAAAGACAGGGAAGATGTCGAACATTTTGTATGGCCATTGGATTTTATTTAGGAGATAAAATTGACCGCAACTTTGTGTGAAATTGTTTTGAATATCTATCAGTACGACGGAGATCGTAAATATGGGGCAAATACCCGCGGTCACAAAACTAAGGTTAACATCTGGGCAGGGATCTATGACGTCATTTCAAAAACGAAATCGTACAATGGATTTGGACATAAGGGGGCTTCCAACATATTATGGTGTTGTTGGGTATCACATGGTCGGCCCCGCACGACCATAGCCTTTGCTTACTTGTGTTTTTTTCACCGATTTCCCACATCAATAGGAAATTTATTTCAAATGGGAATATTTTGACAATCCTTCAGTAATTCTTTATGACTATGTTTCAAAAGACAATAGAGCAAAGAATATGTTTAAATTGCCTCACATTCCGAAGTCAATCCGAACATACGTCACACATAGACATTAAATTTGATTCTTTATATTCATGTTTAAATTTCAAGAAATCCGAATGTATCAAATATATTTTAAAAGCCAATTAGTTTCAAGAATTGTTATATTTTAATCCGTGTTACATATGTATGTATGTATGTATCTACATACATATATTTGTATGTATTGGTGAATGATATAAGAAAGCAACACGTGATGCCATATAATCAACATTATAAATCCCCCTTTGAATGATTAAATGTCAGGATAAAATCTTGACATAAATAAATTTTTGGAGCCCCAAAATTGGACGTCCGTCACACAAAACGATGTTGTTGGCTTAGTCAAACACACATACTGAAGCCAATTTATATATTTCAAATAATTATTATTATAAATGTAGATTTGATTTCTATTAATAATTTCAAAAATATTAAAAGTGAAATAATGGCTGTCTCTTTTAAAGACTTTCTAGAGTCAGAGATGGTAGCTGTTGGTAGTTTGAAGTATCAGCATTAAAATACAAGTATTGCAGCTAAAAGATATACACACACATATATGTGTGTACGTTTGTTTGAATAGTACATAGCATACTCTTGTGTGTTATTTTTACACACATGCATATAGGAAATTGATGGAAAGGAAAAGAAATATTGGAAAATATATGACATACGAATATTGTTATTCGAGAGCAATATTCATATTCCAAATATTTACACAGTAGCAATATCCGATGAAATCATGTTATGAAAATAAGCAAAAAAGAATATATTTTCTTAGTTTTGACTTAGAACTTTGTTAAACAATTACATTACCCTAGGTCTTTTAGAACGAAATCTGTCAGGACATATAAGCAATGAACCGATATTGCCAATCTAAATAAATTTTAATAAAAATATAACGATTTATTGTTGCAATAATAGTCCAAAATGGACAGACATGTTGCACATCGATAACCTTCGAAGGGAGCATTCTACTTGGTTCCAACTCGATAAATCGTTATATTTTTATTAAAATTTATGCAAAAAAAAAAAATAAACAAATATATAAATAAACATGTAATAA